TCAAGGGATTAGTCCATTATAACGACAACAAAGGAACTCTTAAAACATAAAGGCGAGCTCAAGTTGAACGGCAGATCAAACCCAAGGTGTACCCACACCGAGGCTCAGCGTCTGGGTGCACTCTCAGCATCCCGGGATCGGTTCAGCTCCCATTCAGCCTTCTAGCACCCAATTCTTTCTGAAACCGGGCAGAACCCAAACCTGCCCGACTTCCATCCCTTCTCAAAACACAGTATCTGATGCGTTGTGCCATCATTCTAGTGCACATCAAAATAAGGCCATTGCCAACACTGGACCAGACTGGCCATGTCTGTCTAACCCAGCCATGAAGCCCTCCAAGGATGGAGACCCCTTCCCCCCCGGAGACCTGTTCCTGGGCTGCATCGCCCTCATTATTTCCCCCCCCAATGTCCAATCTGAACCTCCCCAGCACCAGAAAAAGGTGGATATAACTCCTCTTTCATGTTTTTAAGAGAAAAGATTCTGTAACCCAAATAAAACACAGTCACAGCAAAATAAAGTAGCTGTTCGCTGGAGGAGGGGAGAAAACGCTACACATTTATCAAAAGAGAGTGCTCAAAGCTTAACTACCTGTCTTTAAAAAGAAGCCAAAGCACTGGTCCATAACCAAACAACAAACACACCACTTCTTCATCTTGATTTGTGTAGAGGCAAAGCCACGGGCACAAAAGGTATTCTTCGTCAAATAAAATCCATTTTAAAACTTGGCAACCGCCAGCATAAATACTTTTACACTGTTAATGTAAGCACTTCCACGCAGAAGTTTCAGCAGTTTAACAATGTATTTAAAAAAGCTGGCGTAACTTCTGTGCAAAAACACCATCAGTCTTTGTCTTGTATATCTTGCAGCGCTCCGGTCAGTAAATTACCACTTAGCACTATTAGCATCGGACCCCACCTCCCTGTTAGACTCACTAGCTTCTCTCAAGAACAATGCACAACCAAAACTATTCTTCTGTAACTTGTTTTCTTTAAATTTGGAAATAGCCACAGACTCCAAACAGGCTTGTATTGACTACAAGTGGTGTTATGGGCCCAGCAATTTTAATTCACGCTAAGTCAAGCTAAGCATCCAAAACTTTTCTTTCTGCCTTTACATACGGGTATAACATTCAGCAGCTGCTTTTTCCCAGTGACCAACCTCTCGTGAAGCTCCAGTAGCCTGGCTCCAAGATGCACGCGCCGCTTCTCTGGTTAAAAGAAGCATCGGTAAGACTGCTGCTGCATAAGCATTTGTGATTTTGCATCCCCAGTTTTCCACCCATCCGGTACAATTAACACGGATTCCTTCGCCACACAGCCTCAAGTCAAAAGTGTGCAATTTAGTACTTAATTACGAACGAAACAGCAAACCTCAACATTTCGGCACCTTCATGATGCAGGCCCGGCTTCTGGCCGCTGGACCATTTACGCTGCCTAAGCACGGAGAGGTCGCACATCTTCCCTGAACCAGCTCTTCTCTCCGTGCTACAGGAGGTCATTGCATCATCTCAGACCAGAGCTTGGCACAGCCTTCTAAAAGCTCCTTCAGGTCTCTCCACGTGCTCTCTCGGCGTACCCTGCTGTACCACCTCACCCCTCCGAGCCACCCACACTTGTGAACCGCCGTGAGCTCAGTCAGCTCGGCACTGCGGAAACCGAAGCTGGCATCGTTCAGCCGGCTTACTTTAAAAACGCCAAACCACATGTATATCCAAGCCCCCGTTGGGAAATTATGTCCATCTGTGCCCAGTAGCTCCACCACAATACTCCCTGACGCCTGACACCTGGACACCTCACCTACCACCACATGTCCTCCCACCCTTATCCTCCACAACACGCTGTGCACTTCATGACACGGCTCAAAACCCAAAACTCCTGGCAGAACCAACCCAGCTCTCCCAGCTTGCTGGTCTTTCAGAAGAGACAACGGCAGAGCTGCTCACAGGTAACACCATGCGCTCTTCATGCTCCGACGCAGAGCTACAGACGCGGCAGAAGAAACCCCCCGCAGCAAGAGACGCGACCCGTAAACCGTTCGGTTTCACCACCGAACACCCAATTTCCAACATTTTAAAACAAGAGCAGTTTTCCTGGAGCGCTCGAAATCCAGGCTGCAGGATGGTTCTCAGGCACAGGTTTAAGTTCTGCTCTTCGGATCCGAGGAACGCCGTCCCGGCGTGTCAGAAGAAGGTTAATGAACGATTTAGCCGCCCTCACAACCACGTTAGTGTCACTTTCGGAAGCTGCGAGTTAATGCCCGAGATCTTCGGGGGTTATCCTCTTTGAAGTTCACTGATCCATAACCAATGTCCAATTAATTTTCAGGAGCCTAACTATAATGACTATTGGCCTTTTCCTACGCATACAAAACCACAGTGGGTAACGGCGATGCTTTTTGGCTTTGGGATATTCCCGCACACGCACGCACACTTGCACACCTTCAAAACATCCTGCCCAGTGAGGGGTTGCCTTCTGCTGTTTGAGGCATTTTTTACGTTTGCGCTGCCGAGAGCATCCAGCTTTATGAACTTTCTGCTGCAAAAGATTTGGAGCTGATTCAAGATGCTCATTTGGTGACAGAGAAGTACTTCTGGTGCATTTGCTCAGATTCCTCTTTATTTAGGGTTTCCATGGAAGCCAAGGAATAGAAGTTCAATCTTGGGAAGATTAAACAGGCCCTCAGATATAATGCAAAACAGCTTATTTCAACATTCCCTCAAGAACAGAAATGAGAAATTCTTCCACACATACACAAAAAGAAAAAAGTTTGTGGAAATTTTCAAAACAAACCGGGAGGCGAGAGCTTTTGCTTCTTGCCACCAGCGGCCCCACCAGCTGCCAGCGCCCTTACTCGGGTGAGAAAGTAAATGAACAAAAAAATCTTGCAGGATAAAGATGCTACGATTTAAAAACCAGCTTATTCAAGACAGCTATTGCTATACAGCATCCGGGAAGTAAGTTAATTCAACCACAAGGTCTTGCACAAAGAGGAACAATCACCTCATAAATTAGTATCTCAGCAGATTTTGTAAGAATATAAAAACAAAGCAGAGATTATGCAGTTCAGCAGCATCTTCCATGGCGGTGCTGTGGGCACTGCTAGAGCCGACATACCAACATTCAAAAAAATAAACCAAGTGACTTATATCTTCACTTACTCCAGGCTGAAAAATGACTCCTGCTCTGGTGAGAACGGTAAATGTTTCCATGCCTCCCTACCCGACAGGTCAACGGAGCGTCGGTAGCCACAATGACAGGCTGTTGGACACTACAAATTAACAGTAATGCGTTCTTCCTGACCTCCATCCCCCAGGTAAAGACTTATGTCACGTTGTTCCCATCTGGTATGAAAACGCCCAAGACTGAGGAACTCCACTCCAAAACGCTACTATTTCACTGCACGTTTCTTAACCATTTTGAAATCCGGCACAGACCTGTCCGGATAATTGGTAAATGCATTTTTTCCTGGAGCTGAGAAGCAGAGAGTTGCATGCAGGTTTTTGCTACCTGCTCTAGTAAGAAAACTAAACACGGCTGAACCTCAAACAAGTTATTTTCAACCTTAAAGCCATTTTTGCTTAAATAAAGAGACACTTCAATCCGAGACTTTTCTAATCCTTTGCTTAGAGCGAGTACCTGACCGCTCAGTGAAAATGCACTTCATGAAACATTCCAGGTTTTTATTAACTCCACGGGAAAGTCCCAGGACCCTGGGATATTTTTTTCTGACTCCTGATTAAAACAGCGGGAGCCCACATGAATTTCCCTCCCTCCCCCGCTTTTTTTTTTTCCCCTCCAAGAGTTTCACATGCAACATCCCCCTCCTCCAAATCTGTAAGAAAACAAGAATCAAACCGAAAACATTTCGCCAGCTGAAAGGCGCCAAGACCTTGCGCGGGGCGGGATACGTTTCCAGCTGCCAGCCTAAAGGGACGGCCGAGGGAGATTAAACACAGAAATGCTTTTCATAAGGCAGGCGGCTTTGAAGAGGACAGTTCAGCTACTTCATGTCGTAATCTTCACAAAGCGTCAGATTTTAGCCTAAGCAGGTCTTAAAACAAGGAGATTTTATTAAAAAAAAAAAAAGAAAAAAAGAAAAAAAAGGAGGAATGTGTTCTGGCCGGGTTCTGTTGATTCAGCAAGGGTTAGACACACACACGCTTATTGATCCCAGAGAGCTCCCTGCTAAGTTAATTGTCTGGAATTTTAACTGAGCTCTCAGCAAGTTTCAAAATCCATGCTGGCTGGAAGTGGGTGGGGGACTAGGAAAAAAAACAGGCTGCAAAACTGTGCAACTCCTCTAGTTTAAAAAAAAAAAAACCCAACACCCACAGCAATGGCTTTGATGAAGGGAAAAGCTGCAGCAGGGAATGGTTTTAACCGGATTTGGTGATTCTGACTCTGACACCGCTGGAGTTCAGTGCCGGGAGTCTTGTGTGCAATGCAGTACCATTTTCAGGGAGCACGATGGTCCCGGTTTGACCCATATAAACCTTAGGGAGGCGAGGGTATCTCCTGCACGCTTCCCGCAGCCTCTGGTTGGGGCTGATCACAGCGATTTCCCGGTGTGTTTACAGAGAGCTCTACCTCGCCTGCGTTCCTGTAACCTCCTCCCGCTGACCTCCTGCCGGTGTGGCTGTGGCCAACCCCGAAGTGCAGCGTGCCTGACCGCCTGCGTATGCACGAGGACTGCCCATGGCTCTGCACTGCCCACCAAGCCCTACCTGCCTCCAGACCACGCTCGGCAGCAGCTTCCCCAGGTGAGGAACGTGCTGCAGGGATGACTCGGGGCAAGCAGCCAGGAATGGCCACAGACACCCTTAAAATAACCCGCGACTTCTCCGAAATAAAGCTTTGCTTTCCACCAAAGCGCCCACGCGACACCATTCCGTACCGGTGTGGATGCTCCCCACCACCCCTCCCGTGTCCGCGGCGGCTCCCCGCTCTGTTCCCTGGAGGCACCCCGCAGAAGGGTCGCTGTCCCGGTGCTCGCCTACCTGAACTCCCTCCCCTCGCTGTAGCGCCGAGCCGAGGCGGCGCGCTGGGTGGCCGTCTCCAGAAGCAGCTTCTGCGTGAGCCTGCTGGAGGGTGCCGAGTCCCTGCCGGCCTCGGGCTCGGCCTCTTGGTCACATTTCCACTCCTCGTCCTCGTTCAGAGTCGGCAGATAACCGGGTAGCCCTTTACCTGTCCCAGACCCTGAGCTCGGGTCACTATAAATTTTTGGACTTTCCCCACCTGTCCTCGTGTATTCCAAATAAATATCCGACTTAAGGAACAAAGGGTAGGTATTATCTTCTATCATGCACTGAATCTCTGTTTGGGCCTGGTCAAACATGTCGGGGTCAATCTGCAGTTTCATGACGCAGTCTTTGATGAAGCTTTTTGTGGCCGGTTTGATCTGCCGAGACACAATGCCGTTGTTGTCGAGGATGTATTTTTTGTAAATGGCTTTTGCCAGCTTGAGTCTTTTTTCCTCATTAGACGTGCACGGCTCCAGCTTCCTGAAGCCGCTGCAGGCAAACCAGAAGTCCAGCAGATCTGCGCAGTCCTCCTGTTTCAGGAAAGTCCTGAAGAGGTTGATACCGTCTTGATCATCCAGCAAGGAGTGCAGCGACTCGGCCCACTTCAGGTAGGGTGGAGTTGGCGAAGCACTCCCCTCAGGCTCGTACCCCAAATCCAAATCGGAGCGCCTCGGTGTTGCCGTGGACGTCTCGTTCCTAAGCACGTCGCTTTTACCAGAGTAGAAACCATGGCTAACCGGCCTTGGATCCGTGGACACGAGTTCCCCCTCCTCACCAGGAACCGGTGGCCTCGGAGCATCTTCAGTGAAGCTTCCTCCAAGGTCCAAGGGGAAGCCTTTCCCCTGGATATTCATTTTTCTGGTCCTTGCTTGCACAGGAACAGTGGGGGACAAGCTCAAATCTCAAATCGCCAATACTTGTAGGTCCAAGGTGAACAAGTTTGTTCGGCTGAAACAGATGAGGGGGGAAAAAAAGTGAGTATCGCTGTAAATAAACACTCTAAGATGACAAACAACTGAATTTGCTCTGCACCATCACTGTATTAACACCTCTTTTTCAGAAGAGTCAATGGCAAAGCTCTCAGCAACTTCAGAGAGCACAGAACTGGGCTCAAAACAGGCACCCTGTAAAAATGACAGTTGCAGAATATCCCAAAACTTTACATCCAGCATTCGGCATCACGGATACGGCTGGTGCAACGCTAAACCAGCGGCCAGTTTCACAGGGCCCTGGGATCCGGCAGTCTCCACATCCGAGAGATCTACGCTCAGGTACCACGTGCCATCTTCTGCGCTGCCATTAACTCCTCTGCACAGCCTACCTGGACAGCACATGCTGTTTACACCCGTCTAGGGAATTCTCATCCCCAAACAGGAATTTAAGGCTTCTGAAAAATACTCTGAAAAGACTATCCACTCAGTCCTGAAAGCGAGACTGCACCTTAATCAAACACAGGTGGCTTTCGTACGCTGGAGTGACATACCAGCGCCACATTCCTCGCAAATCTCTGCGTTTCAGAAATACACTGCGCCGCCTCGTCTAGCTCCGGGGGAATCCAGATGCATCGCTGACCCCAGTATTTTGGGCATCTGGACCACA